AGACTCGATACATCAAATTACTTTTCGCTTTCTTTACGACATTATTTCCCAATTTGAATTATAACATGTCACTGAAATTATAATCTCTTTAAAAACTCTTTTCAGTTCAAGTGGCAAAGCCATGCGTGACTAGCACTATAAATTAGTCAAGTTAAATAGCAACTAAAACTGGAACGTTTTAATCTTGGTAAACCCAGACTAATAAATAACCGAAACTACGAAGTAAAGAAGGTATTTGGAATCCCTTTCACGTAAAAAAATAACCGCGAATCTGTCAACACTCCCCCCCCCCCTGCTCCCTCCACTTCTTGTTGCAGATTTTAAAAACAGGTCGGTCTAAAGAGAATATTGGAATCCACAAAAAATCATTCTTAAAAAAAGTAAAGGACTTACATGGATATATAAGGTATTTGTTCCGTTGACACTGCGCAGTCATTGGCAGTATATCCTTTATTGCAAAGGCACGAACCGTTTATACATCTCCCGTTGAAGGTGCAATCGTTTGGACATAGTTGCTCAGCGACGTCTGACAGCATAGAAGAATTAGTCGGTTTCTCTCCACTGCTTTCATTCAAATAGGAAGAAAGGTTTCTGCCCGCAATTTCACCACATTCATTCATAAGCATGGAAACAGCAGAAATTGCAAAAGATGTTTCGCCGGTCAGCTAGAATAGAAAGGTACAAAACTTGGGTTAACGACGCATTAGCTTATATCATAGTCGTTAACCTGTTCCAACCCCAATCAATTTCTTTCTTTGGCTGTTTCTTCAGACAGTATACCAGTTGACCCTGGGACGTATCAAAACACGTATACCCCAACCGTGGTACGAGAGAGAGGATGGGGTAGATGGAAACCCGACGCCCCTGGGTTTTCATTGTAATGCGACAAATTCAAGTTATTGTGAATTTAGTAAACGGTTTAGGGGTTGCTCTACAAGATAACATATTTTCGTTAGTCGAGACGTGATATGTCGTCATTAAGTCCGCCATCTTGAATCACTCGCTGAAAAAAGATCATACGATACTCGCTCATTCAACAAAAACAATAAAATGACTACAACAACAGCCATAACAACAATAAAGTGACGTCGCAACATAATAGCTTAACAAAATTGAATTCAACAATAATTTTTGCTTCCACTGAAAAAATTAAAAAGAAAATACCTCAAGATCTATAGAACACGAGTTGACCTTGGCTTGAACATTGGCCCCAAGGCTGGCGCACAATTTACCGACTTCTGTGTTTGAAACCTTCTCCATACAGTAGAGTGTTGCGTTTTCTTTTGTGAATCTAGGCTTATTAAGCACAGCCCGCTTGTAACGATGATGACCACCTGACCCAAGGTAACTTTTGAATACATCGAAATCCTCCTCTCGCAGGTCGTCTGAGTAGTAGCAAATGTCTCTTTTTCCTCTCCCAGCATTTTGATCTCTAGGGAATTGAACCACATTTCCTTTTTTGTCAAGGATGTTAGGGAAGTGCACGGGAAGGCTTTCAATGCACACTGCCTTTCCGTCGCTGTCTTTCTTATGACACGAGCAAGATACTTTATACATCAGACCAACATCAGCTGGTAGAGTCGCCGGCAGCGTATCAAAGTAACTTGTTCCGGGATTTAATCTGCAAGAGACAGAAACTTCCTTAGTTGGTAACGTATAGGTAATTCGACTTTACAGTGCCTTATTTGATTCATTACAGAGAACTCTAATACAGTGCAGTTATGTTACGTTAAACAGAGAAGTGAAAATACATGGTGGATTTATTCATCTAAAAGGTGTTTAACCGGATACTTAAGAGTGCCTGCCTGTAAAAATCAGACAAATTCTTGATTTCGCGGCAAGGGNAGGAGGAGGAGGAGGAAGAGGAGGAGGAGAAGTACACTTTATTTAAGCTCGGATTAAAGAGTAGCGAGTATGCGCCAGTAGCTCTGAGCAATCAGATAAAATTCCTGAATACGTACACGTTGCTTCGAGCACTACACTGTCTACATAAGCTACATGTACTCTTTACCAGAATCGCAGAACTGATCTTTCGAAATCAGTTCCAGCTGTGACGTGGATTAAATTGTCAATCAAATTTGTCGTTTTGCGTCGACAAAGAAAAAGAAACCCCGGGCAAACCTTACCGTGGCCTGCCACAGGCATCCCACGGAATTATCTAAACAAAATCCGGTTGGGTATTATCGTTATCAAAAGCGATTTAGCCTGTTCAAGTTTCCCTGTGGCTGGGCACAAAAAACGAAACAATGATTACCTCCCTCCACATCGGTCACAAAAGTGGACTAAAATGGCTCAGTTTAAAGTAGATTAATATGTAGCAATTGAAATAAGTTACAAGTGAGATAAGAGTTGAATTTTTACCTCCACTTGTAACCAAATGTGTCTATGTTGGTCTGGGAGCCATCGTACAAGCATAGCCCAGCTTCGTCATTAATACTTTCGGCTCGAACAACTTGAAGTACGATGTTAAGTCCATAGCTATTTCGATAAATCTCCACTTTTGCTCCAGAAGGAAACAACACCTAAACTCGAATGAGAACAAAATAGTTAACCCTATATTCAGGACGAGGGAGAGCATTCCGAACAGCCTAATAACATTTAAACAAGTATTTGCAGCAGAGCAGTCTGCCATAACTCATTTAACCCTTATTTGTACAATGCTGGGAGGCAGAGGAGGTGGATGGGCACTTTCATTCATCACTCGCGAAAATTTTGATATGCCAATTATGCGTCCATAATTTTTGACGCTGCCATGGCAACTGCAAGCTTCGTGTAGATCCGGGCACAAATATATATATATTTTTAAAGGATTCACCTTTTTCCAAGTGCCGTTCATCCAATTCAGAAATTCTTGATTATTTACATTGCATAAGCATTTTGTATTAATCTCCGTCATTTCTTGCCTCGCATACGGCGACTGTGCCCGCAGTAAGAGCGGCAGCCAACACTGAACAGTCCGATTGAAAGGATACGATAATAGTCATTTTCTTGAAAGCTGACATAAATACGAAAGAATGCTAAAGTTGCTTTGAACTCGTCTAATACTTAGCGAGAGAATTATGGGTCTAATTTGATGGAGAACAACATATTCTGAATATAATATGAACATAATATGAATATTATGAACATAATATGAATTATTTCATATAAACTTCACATCATAACAACATATTCTGTTTAAAATAACACAACTATTTTCCTTCCTGGTGACACTCGACGAACCACGAGTGAGTTGCTGGTCATGGGTGACCNATCAGTAGCATGCATGATAAATAAGTAAATCTCTTATCACCTCAAAGAAACGTTTTTTATTCTTATATAAGATAAAGTCTCCGTGTCCCATGAAAGTGAAAGATGGACCCCTGAAATAAAAAGCAAAATTTACATAAGATACGTCATACAATATAGCACTGACAAATTTCAATGACGAGAAATATATTAATTGAATATCATATAGAGAGCTACGGTGAAATTAAAACAAGTAAAAAGAACAAAGGAAACAAACAAACAAAGCAAACATGAGCTATCCAAACACCGAGAAAAGAGCTGAAACTACGACGCTCAGCAGAGTCTTTTTGACAAAATTCGTGGTGTTTGGATAGCCGATGTTACACTGTCTCGAGTGTTTGATATATCTTTTCAATCGAAACAAAAACTAAACAGTAAACGGAGAAGTGAAATCGTCAAAATCTGTTTTAACTTTATGAATTATTAATGAGTTTGAGAACTGTTGTTCTAGCTACGAAATAAACTCAATTACTAGCCTGTCAGTTGTCTTTTTCCTGTAACTCTTTATGCAACTCAAGGTTGCTTTCTATGTTTCGCCCACTTCATTATCGTGGAATTTGAATTTGGGGCTTTCTACGTCTGTTGATGTCATTTGAAAGTTTTCCAATATAACAAACTTAGCGTAGTCTGGCAATGGAATGGAATGAAGGGGGTTAAGTCTAATGCCTTTACGGATATCGTTTCCTTTCCTGAAAGTAACCGTGGATGGTATTGGCTTTGATAATTATGAGCACCAAACAGTTTAGAGTTACAAGGGTAGAAAGGCGTTGAGAGACTCACAAGCATCCACCAGGTCTGAATAGGGTTAAGGTACTTGTACTTACCCAAATGGCTCGTAATGGGGATCAGTGTACGTTCGGCACCGTTGCACCCTGTCAGAGCTTCCCACAACAGAAATCTGCGGTAGTTTAGGAATATGATAGAGGAACGTGAACCAATAAATATATGGGAGTAAATAAATTAATCGCTAAAAAAAAAGATGGAATGCAATAAAATGAATTTCCCCATTAGTCATTAGTCATAAATCAAGTNGAACTTTACTCTGATTGGATATTACAAATCACTATGTAAATAGTTCACCCCTGAACTGAAAACAATACCGCTTCGTTTCTGAGGAAACGAAAGAAAAAGCCCAGTTTTAAGAATATTGGATTAATCCAACTATTTACCGTAAACAAAACCAAAGTGTTCTCCAACGATGAGATCGTCAGTCGATCAAAAGAATTGTCATTTTGACCATGTGCCATGTCTCGGAATTCCAAAAGATTTTAGATTCTAACTATGCTAGGATAGGTCTTTCAATATATGTAAAGTTTAGTTTGGACAAATGATTAGGTACTCGTCAAAAAATTATTCAAATCACACACAAAAAAATTAAAATTACGCCAGCAGTCGAATGCGTGACCAAAAGTGCTACCATTGTTTTCGTCATTAACTCACTTCAATTCGAAATATCACAGGAATATCAGCACAACTTAAGCATAAAACAATATAAATATGTTTTACCTTAGCTGGGTTATCATGTCTTGACTATCAAACAACATTGCCATCCTGCCATTTTAACGGTGTTCCATTAGCTTTGCATAACCTGTACGCATTTGTCTGGTAAATTTGAATCTCCCAAATCGCTCAATATTACCAAGTTCCTATGTAAATGTTCCTACGTTTTCCGTTTTGTTGTTCGGTACAATCACTCAACCTGCTTTCAGGCAGAAATCTCCAGTAATTGGCGATAACAAATAAGCCGCCACCTTCGATCGCTCCGCGTCTCTTATTTGCATATTGTCCAGCGAAAGTCTTTGCACACAGGGTAGGGTAGAGTGGGGATTATTTCCGAAAGAAAAAGCGTTAGAATTTTTCCAATATCTCGATGTTAGTTCTAATTCAGGGCCTCCTTTCTTCGGTAAAGCGATAAAATGCTACACACTAACAAGGTCTTTGTGACTTAAAATTCAAACAAAGAAAAATAAATCTGTTTAAAGATCTGAAATCCCGACCCTCACCCCATGTAAAATATGTTGTAACGCACCGGTCTCGGATAAACATCTTCAGTCAAAACGGAAGCCTTTCAAACGTCTTCAAAATGGAAACCCGAAAGTCACTCGTGGAATAACGCTTTAGCAGTTACTACTGGCTTAATCAAACGACACAAATAACGCAGATAAAATGATACATCCAACAATACATACACGGGACTTGAGGCAGTAATTGTTTTTTCTTCAAAGTCAGATATGAGTACTGACAAGAACTGCAGGGAAAAAATCGGTTTGCAAGATTCAGGATACTACAAACCGAAGTAGGTGAACAGGTTATTTTTACGAGTATGTCTCTCATACTGCTTGGTGATGCTAACGTTTCCAACTGAAGTATTAAATGTAGATATGCTGATGATACTATTGGTCACGCACTCGGTAGCTGCTGGCGTGATTTTGTGTCTTTTGCGAACGATTTTGAATAATTTTTTGACGAGTGCCTAATCATTTGCCCAAACTAAACTTTACATTTATTGAAAGATCTATCCTAGTGTAGTTAGAATCTAAAATCTTGTGGAATTCCGAGACATGGCACACGGTCAAAATGACAATTCTTTTCACCGACTGACTAGCTCAATTTTGGAGAACACTGTGGTTTTGTTTACCGTCAAATCATTAGGTTAATCCAATATTCTTGAAACTGTCTTTTTTAAACAAGGAATAGTTCTGCAATAAGCTGTTTGTATCACAACATTTCTGCGCTCAATGGTTGCGAAATGTGAATCGAATGAAAATGGTCGATTTTCAGCCCAGTTGGGACTCGCTAAATTGCATGAAATTGAGTCTGAAGGTTAAATCGAAAATGTCGTTTTTCTCGGAAAGACAAAGCTATTTCAAGGAAAAAAACTACAGCCTGTTTGCACTCTTGCTAGGGGCTAGATATATGCAAGAGACGAGTGAATTTGAATTTTCTAGCCTTGCCGAAAAAAATTGATTTGGTTTGATTTTTGTGGGAATTTGCTCTCAAAGATGATTTCCAGTCCGTCCTGCGCACTCTCAGCACCCTAATGTTTATAAACACTAAAAAACCTCACTCGATAAAATGCAAATCGATGTTATTCGTTACGAACCACATACCTTATCTTTGAGGCCTTTCAAATTCTTTTTCCAGCTGCTTTACTGATTTTACAGCTGCAAAGTTGTTTCATCAAGTGATATGAGAAAGAACGAAACCTAAAGTTTCACGTCGCTTCGCGTCCATAATGGCGGTTGACGTGAAACTTTGAATTTATGTGACGTCATGCATAGAACAAATCAAAAAACGTAAACAAACTCTCGAGAGTGCACAGTACGGACCGGAAATCATCTTTAAATTTCCTAAAGCCGAATGAACGGCAGAGGAATGAAAAGTTAAACGAGGGCAAAGGAAACAAAAGCACAGTCGAACAAAAGGATTGCTGAGAGTAAAGAAAGCGTTGTGCTGTGGAACGTCCTTTGAAATTCAAAACATTTATGGTAGCTTAAAACAGTTTCCAACAGTTAGATTTTGATGGATTATTATAACCTCTCTTTATCACTCCATGCTTCAGTTTGAAGTGGCTCTGTACAGAATTTTTTTTTTTAACTTTGTCTAAAGTTGTGTCTTATCATGCTTATTAAAATTTGATAATATAAAAAAAAATTCAGTGTGCCGTTTTTGAATTATACCTCCTAAAGCTGCAATTAAAGGTGTTTTTAGGAGGGTCATACTGTTGCTATGGTAACCTATTGTATCACGAAAATGATGACAACGTCTTCACCAATGATTTGGCAGTTTTTTCATACCATGACGGTAGCATCAAGTGATAAAGAGTGATTATTAAGACCCATCAAAATCTAAGTGCTGGAAACTGTTTTGAGCCACCTTAAGGCCACTGCTGTTGTAGTAGTCTTCAATTATAATCAGTAGTTTATCACAATTCACGTTAATAATATACGATTAATTTGTCGATGCATATGTCTTATTGAAAGGGTAAAACATATAAAGAATGCGTGCTGTTTTAATATGCAAAGTAATTTTGCAGGATTTGTTATTTTTCATGGAGGAAAAGTGATGTTTTTGAACTTCAGGTTGCTCTCAGTGGCTGCTAAGCCAATATATTACAGATGACGACTTTTTTTCTTTCTCCAAAAATGAACAGACTAGAGTTTTGAAACTGCGAGATAATTTGGGCGTTAGGGTAAAAGCCTAAACTCCTTTTAAGGCTTCAAAAATTACTGGA